CTCACATCGTGATTGCAGTTGTGTACATTCTTGGAAGTGGTGGTGTGAGTGTGCCCTCAGTGAGGGCATCTCAGCCCCCTGACCAGATTGTCAGATTCCAGAAACGAAAAAAAATAAAATAAATGGAAACACGGATTCTGCCGTGAAAATGGCTGGATACATTCCTCTAAGCGCCATTGTTATCTCGTACAATCCTCTGAGGAAACACAGCTTGAGGAAATCATGGATTCGCCTGTCAGATTCCAGAAAGAGAGTGAGGGAAAAAAAAATGGGAACACCTGTCAGATTCCAGAAAGAGAGTGAGGGAAAAAAAAATGGGAACACCAATTCGGCCCTGAAAATGGCTGGATACTTTTCTGTAAGTGCCAGTGTGATGAGGCTTACAATTCTCTGAGGAAACACACAAAGGGTCTCGCCTCACTACTGTGGCTTCCAGCCTTCTACTGTCACACAGACTAGTAAACTATACTATTCGATGGCATGTGGGGCGAGGCCTCGGGACCCAAATGCGCCGTGTAGTTGTAGTTTTCTACCGACGTGTGGGGGGCGGGAAAATCCAGAAACCTGCAACTTGTCTGCGCCTGCTTGCCCCACCGTCCTCATCGGCTGTCAGCGGGCATGGCATCCCGTGGTTGGTGGCCAACCTCAATTCGAATCATCTTCCATTTTGTGCGATAAAATCACGGTAAAATCCCTCCATAACTTAGAAGTGGCAGTAAAATCACAGACTTTCCACCAAAACAATCAACACAGAGGACAGCGGTCAGCACTCACACTTGTCGCTAGCGCTCACACTTTTCTTAGAATCGCTTTCTACCACGCAGAACACGGCCTCACCTCCTCCCAAACCACCATAACTTGGCCTATACAAGTGTCTGGAATACTCAGAAATTGCGCGCTCTTCTCACACTTTTCTTTAAATCACTTTCTACCACGCAGAACACGGCCTCGCCTCCTCCCAAACCACCAAACCACCACGTCTCGGCCGATACAAATGTCTGAAAGACTCAGAAACTGCGCGCTCTTCTCACTTTCATGGGGGTTGACGGTGCGCACTTCCGATCCGGGCCCATCATCCGTCAAAGATTCGTCGTCCGCCCGCTGCCGCGGATCCCATCATGCGTCAATGATTCGCTGCCTGCCCGCTGCCCCCCAACTAAACTACAGGGCGTATGTGGGTCCCGTCTCCGGGCCCATCATCCGTCAATGATTCGCCCCGGCCCGCTGCCGCGGATCCCATCATGCGTCAATGATCCGCCGCCTGCCGGCTGCCCCCCAACTCTACTACACGGCGTATGTGGGTCCCGTCCCCTGAGGAAGGGGATGCCTAGAGCAGTAGGACGTATCGATGTGAGAACGAAAGGAGAACACAACAAGGGAGTAGAACACAATGAGGGGAGAAGAACGTATGGGAGATAAGGGGCCTGGCTGCACTACTCTCGAAATGTGCAAAACGAGAGTGAATCTTCCGCTACAATGCACGGCCATGATTTTTGTCTTTTGTGCATGTCGAGAGAAGTGCAGCGAGGCCCTGCACTACTCTCGAAATGTGCAAAACGAGAGTGAATCTTCCCCTAAAACATGGAAAGAGGCACGGCCATGATTTTTGTCTTTTGTGCATGTCGAGAGTAGTGCAGCGAGGCCCAAGGACGAGCACGGGAACACTGGGTATCAGATTAGCGATAAGAGTATTTAAGTAGTGGTTTGAAAAACTTAATCATGCTTCAGGATGTGTAAACTTTCAACCATGCGTCAGGATGTGTAGTAGAGGGATTGTCCATGAGGACGCTCGTCTGCCAGCGTAAGCTGGCATCGAAACGTGTCGGGGGCGACGGTTGTGTGAGCTTACTGAGTTTTTCTATCGGATGTACTTTTCCTGGATGCTTTATTGTGACAGCACCTTCCTTTTGTACTGTACACCTGTGACTCTCTCTCTCTCTCTCTCTCTCTCTCTCTCTCTCTCTCTCTCTCTCTCTCTCTCTTGTCAACACGTTTGAGCGTATACACGTTTGAGCGTATACACCACGTTTCTTGTGGACTGTACACCTGTGATTCTGTGTGTGTGTGTGTGTGTGTGTGTGTGTGTGTGTGTCTGGCGCCGTGTGTGTGTGTGTGTGGGTGTGTGTGGGTGTCTGGCGCCGTGTGTGTGTGTGTGTGTGTGTGTGTGTCTGGCGCTGTCTGCGCCGCCGCTCGCGCATGCACATGCTGTGTATGCGGGCTTCCAAAAGCGCGATCACCGCGACTCGCAGGCTCATCTCCGTCCATGGCTGCCGCACAGGAGCAGGGCGAAACACCGTTTGAACACGGTCCGAACACAAAGGCACTCGCACGCCCTCCCTTGCCATCGCTGGGTCTCTGTGTGTTACGCACTGGCTAAACAAGACTCCGCGAGAGAAGCATGCACTCATGCAGCAGCACGATCGTGCATCTTCTGCCGCTATGCGACTATGCTACTCCACTGCGCTTGACGTAACACACAGAAGTTCAGCTCCTGGTAAACTGAGCGTCCACTCCTCTCTCTCTCTCTCTCTCTCTCTCTCTCTCTCTCTCTCTCTCTCTCTCTCTCTCTCTCTACCCCCCGTCCCTGCCATCGCCAGGTCATGGTTAGATGCATGCGAGGTCAGAGCAAGGCCCGTACGTTTTGATGGAGAAGGTAGGCGCTTATCCTCTTGCCAGCTGTCCCTAGCGCGCGCCCACTTCGTGTCCATTCTGTGTTCTCGTAGCGGCGTCGGTGTTTTCCTTGGCCCGTTCCCATTTGACTACTGTAGCCAATTCTCGTAGCGGCGTCGGCGTCGGTGTTTTCCTTGGTCCGTCTTCACCCGAATAGAACGCCCAGTCATTTTAGCCGTATTTGGCAGATTTTTCGGTCCAGATGCGGCGATAATTACCGGGCGTTCTATTCGGGTGAAGACGGTTGTCGAATTCGACTGGCAGACTGGCCTGACGGGTAACACGGACGTCCGTGTACTTCGTTGCTGTCGTACAAACCACGTGGCGACTTTGTGGCTGTCGTACAAACCACGTGGCAAAGTCTTGTTGCTGTCGTACAAACCTCGTGGCCCGTTGCCAAAGTCTTGGACGCCAAGACTGTGATTTGTAGAAGCGAAGGGACAGGTCAAGACTTCGATTTTGTAGGAGAGAAGGGTCTGAAGGGAGACTTCTCTTCCGCCACGTGGCCACGTCCTGTGACCTAGAGAAGTCGTTTTCCGACGAGCGATTGTAGCCAGCCAGCCTGTACGGAACGGTGGGTTGTGTAGATCAGTAATTAGAACTGCCGTTATATTTCAAATTGGCCCTCCTCAGGAACAACGACGAGATCGATCAAGCAGCTCGAGAGTACTTTTTTTTTAAGTTTCTTTGAGGATTTTCGTGAGCGTGAAACGAGTGGTTGAGCAACGCCTATCACAGACTCATCTGCGTATTGCACACGTGCACACTAAGCACCATTACCTCTTTCGAAACTAGTTGGAAGACGCTGAATATTGTTTTTTATTCCGAGCACACCCCCCGGCCGAAGCCCCCTCAAGCCTCTTAATTTGGACCATTTTTTTTCGATTTATGCGTGTCATCCTTGCGCGGGGCAATGCTATGGTAGTCTTCGCTTTTCTCGATTTACGCGTGTCACTCTTGCGCAGGGGCCATGCTGATCTTCATTCTTCTTATCGTTACGATTTGAACGCATGATAAGGTTTTCTATGATGAGCTTGAAAGCTGTGGTTCAGCAGCAGAACGCCCAGGGGTTGAACTTGTGTGCGGGGCTTTCGTGGATGCATTTGGCTCTTTTTAGTGGCAGAACGCCCAGGTTCTCTGCATTCTAGACAATTCTATTTTTGTCGCCACAGTCTGACAGCGAGGGCTGAACCTGTTCGGGTTGCGGACGTGGCCGCGAGACATCTCGTACAACGGAAGAGATTGAAGTACGTCTGCATGTGCATGCCAATGAGCCAGCAGCACGGTAGATATTTCCTTTGGTATACGTCATTTAATAGTAATTAGTGGAAGGGCATGAAGTACGTCTGCATGTGCATGCCAATGAGCCAGCAGCACGGTAGATATTTCTTTTGGTAGTGGAAGGGCATGAAGTACGTCTGCATGTGCATGCCAATGAGCCAGCAGCACGGTAGATGTTTCTTTTGGTACACGTCATTTAATAGTAATTAGTGGAAGGGCATGAAGTACGTCTGCATGTGCATGCCAATGAGCCAGCAGCACGGTAGATATTTCTTTTGGTACACGTCATTTTTAATAGTAATTAGTGGAAGGGCATGGTGACAGTGCGCGGGGCTTTCGTGGATGCATTTGGCTCTTTTGACGGTCGGATTACGCTCCAGAGCGTCCTATCGACTGTGAGTATGCTCTGAGTTGTGTGCGTTGTGCATTTGGATTGGCTGAGGAAGTAAAGAAGAACAGTCGAGCAGTTTTTTTTTTATTTTTAGTTTGAATTGTATGTTAGTGTGGTTATGGGAATTACGGTTTGATTGGAATCTGAAGTCATTATCACTCTTGCTAGGACTGTTTTTTTTTTGCTTATTTTCTGGATGTAATTGCGGTCAGATGCGTCCAGTTCCGGCCGAAAATGCGGTCAGATAGATTTTAGATAGACCTAGTGCGAGTACGCCCTGAAAGTAGAGGGGGACCTTCGCTCGCGCTGGAAACTTCAACGTGTCCTTCTGGACATCCGTTAAAATTGGACCGATACAGAGAGAGAAGATTAGCATTGGGACCCTGCGCAAGGATGACACGCATAAATCGAACAATGGTCCACATTATTAAAAAAAGATTAAAAAAAAATAATTCTACGTGAAAGTGGAGAATACTGCTGGTGTGTGGTAGGACACTCCGTGCAGTGGATATTATGAAGAAGCCCTCCTGTCCTATGGTTTGCTTCCATAAATCTCATGTGTACCCCTTCGCCCTGTTGCGATTCGCCTTACTAGGCCGTTCGCTGTCAATATCACTCACTACAGCCTGCGTCTGCTCCCTGATCCTCCTATTGACAGGGGATGTACCCATTCGTAGAAGGGGATTCTTGTGGAGTACTATCACCATCGCCTCCACCTCGGACAGCCACCCGGGTGCACGGCTTCTTCAGGACTGGCACAGTGGCACTGCGTCATGGGAGACGGAACCAGTACCGGACGCGATTCCCACTTCGCTTCGACGCATGGCGACGGAACCAGTACCGGACGCGATTCCCCCTTCGCTTCAGGACGGTCCCATCTCCATCCTGTTGTCCCATGACTCCCATGATTACCAGGCTCACTGTCGGTCGGATATCAGGAACCTCGTGGTTTCTGAGCCACGAAATGAGATTTACTATGTCCTGCACCAGTACTGCATCACAGACGATGGGGCGCTCAATAATTCGATGATGTCGATTAGAAAAGCCTACTTATCGGCGTACCGAGATCAACCGAGTGAAGAAGGCGTAATCACTTACATGTGGCCCTACGACCAGCCAAACGGGTTTAAAATAACCAAAGAGGGGTAGTTTGGCGACAAGCCCATGGCTAACGTGACAGCAATGGGCCTTTCCAGAGACAACGCATCTCTCCTCTTAAGCGTAACCAATGGAAGCCTTTCCAGAGACAACGCATCCAATGGAAGTCAAAGTCAATCTGCTATCACGACAGGGGTGTCGAGTTTGCCTGGGGTCTCCATGTTCACTCTTTTGAATCTCACTGACGGCTCTCGATCATCCTTTCCGTTTACTGATTTGGTTGAGTCTTGGACGCTGGACTCCAGGGTGGGCAATTTATATTATTCGTCACAAGGGAGTGCAACTTGGACCACCACTGTTGATGATTCGGGACGTCCACTTCAAGGGCCGACATCCGTACTCGATGTTTTTGCCTATGGTGTGAGGTTCCAATCTCAAAGCCTTGTGTCGGACGGCAGTTGCCTGTACTCTCTGGATACCGAAGGCGGGCTTTTAGGGATTGATCCCGGTATCGGTCTCCCGTTCTCCGCTGAAGTAACCCCGATATCTCGTGCTTATACGGCCCTGACGCCGAATGACATTATGGTAGTCTCCACGCGAGAAGGATGTAACGTGTTCTCCGCCGTAGGAAATGCCGTTCATATCCATGTTGTGGTCCCGCCCTGCAATTACACGTTCAGAGAGCTTGGAGCCATAACGTATTCCGAAAAGTCGGGGCAGGAGCCGCTGGGACTGGCTCTTTACGATGACGGTGTCAAGTTAACCCTGTATACTGGAAGCATGCACGGCAGATTGTTTCGGGTTCCGCTGAGCAGGTCGGAGCTGCGGGGTTGTAAAGGCCCCCCTAATACCCCTATTGATGTCAACCTGCAGGCCGCACCCCGTACTGTCATAGACCAGCCGGCCGCACCCCCTACTGACATCAAACGACTGGCCATGATCCTGGGTGGGACCGGGGGGGGACTGATACTTGCGTCAATCGTTGCCACCTTGATTTGGGCTCGGTGGGGCAGAAAGAAGCCTCACAGTCAAGCTCGCAGGCAGGAGGGCTACAGTGCTTTGCCCATGTTGCGACTGAGGCCCTCGCGCGTAGAGCAGTTCGATCTGAAAACCCTGTCGGATTGCACGGACGGTTTCAGTGAGACCCATCAAATCGGGGACAGCGGGGCCTTTGGGAAAGTCTTCAGGGGTTTGCTTGACGGCAAGGAGGTGGCAATCAAGGTGATGACCGGTGAGCTGACGGCCGTCAAAAGCAACCAGTTCATGGCAGAGGTGAACACTCTCAGCACAGTTAATCACGTTAATCTTATCCACCTCATCGGGTACTGCCAGGAGGGCAGTCAGTGCATCTTGGTGTACCCCTACTTCCAAGGCGGCTTCTTGCACGACCGGCTGTTTCCCAACTCTGATAAGCTGGGGGGTCTCCCGGGGGATTCTCGTCCGCCGCCGCTCACTCTGCAGGAGCGCATGAGCATAGCCTTCCAGGTTGCCAAGGGGCTGGCGTACCTCCACGACGACGCCAAGCCCCCCATCATCCATCAGGACATCAAGAGCAACAACATCCTCCTTGGAGATGTCTGCGGGGGGACCCTCCACGTAGTTGTTGCTGATTTCGGACTGGCAGCCATGGGGGAAAGGGTGCTAGGCACCGGACACGAGCAGATTGTGCGCACATTGCACATAGGCGGCACGTTTGGGTACATGTCCCCAGAGTACATGCTGAGAGGCGAGCTGTCTGAGAAGAATGATGTGTACTCATTTGGGGTTCTTGCATTGGAGCTGCTGACGGGAAGAAAGGTGGTCACTCGGGCGCCGTCAGGGTTGGGCTGGCAGACACTTGTGGAGTGGGTGAGGCCTTTCTTGCAAGGTGGAGTTGAAAATGCCCGACAGCTGGGTTCCCATATGCCGCACCACCCGAGCGCGATTCTCGATCCCTGCTTGTGGGATCAGATGGCCAGAGATTCCACAGAAAAGATGGTGAAGAGCGCTTTCAGATTGGCTTGGGAATGTGTCCATGAGGAGGACAAGTTCAGGCCCGCCATGCGGGCAATTGTACAGCGCATTCACAGCATGTTTCTCGATGTAGGTTGGGACTTCTTGACCAGGACCATGGACATGGAGAACCTTCTGGCCACGGCAGAGGCAGAGGATGACGTCCCGGGGAAGGAGGATGACCACTCTCAAAAGAGTCTGGATGTACTCCCAGATGCAGGGAGCCTATGAGGAGGCTAGAAGCTGACAGATTGACACATCAGTAGATGCAAGGTGAGGTGAGAGAGCAGAATGTAGGCACGCTGTAGGCGGCTGCTAGACACAGGGAGCCTATGACGAGTGTAGAAGATGACACATAAATTTAAATTTACACATTGAAAGATGCAAGGTGAGCAGAATACAGGCGCTTGCTAGACACAGGGAGCCTATGACGAGTGTAGAAGATGACACATCCACACATTGAAAGACGCAAGGTGAGTAGAATACAGGCGCTTGGGAACCGCTCTTCGTTGTTGTTGTTTTTTTCCCAATCTTATATGCAGAGGGGTCAAGCCACTAACATAATTGTATCGGGTAGATTTGGACCTGAGGCTCTTGATTTGCTTATCAACAGTTGTTTGTCAATGCCATGGCTGCCAGGTGTTTAATTGTTTTCTTTCACTTGCTGACAGCTAAAAGTTGTGTACCAGGATGCCAGCCAAGAACCCAAAGTGGTAAAAATTGTGGTTATCGGAAAACAGATCTGTGATTCCCTAATAAGATTCTTTTTCTTGTTTTGTTTTGTTTGATTCAGAATACTCAACTTTACTGTGGACAAGGTCTTGGTGCAGGTAACTGGATGGCGCATAGCACAGGATGACCTTCTGATATTGTATAATGGGTGCTGTGATTTTTGTCATAAACTCTACCTTCGTTGTAATCACGCTGCTGTTCAGGTCCTAGAACTTGGTGTTCAGATGATGTTAGACCGTCAGTACCATTACCAGGCAGAAGAAAACCGCCCGCCGGTTAACACGGAGGCCGGCCCCGAGCGCGCCTGTGATAAGCCCAGCTCCGTACCGCGCGGCTTGCCGTATCCCTGAGGAAAAATCACGCGGAAGCCCCGAAGTACGGACACGGACAGAAAGGGGTTTTTCTTTCTTTTTGCTTTTGTTTTCTTTTTGAAACGGCTTTTTCATTTTGTTTGGTTAATAACTCCCGCGCGGGCGAATAGCGGCCGCGGTATGAAAAGCAAGAAACGGTTTCGGTTGGAACTTTTTTTTTGAATTTTTGCGAGCGCGCCTAAGCTCCGACTTCTTCGTGCGTCTCGCACCCCCGTTTCTTGTTTTGCATCCCCGCGCCATCTTCCCTTCTTGCTGCGCGCGTTCTCCCCATGCAGGACTCTTCGTCTTCCCCTCCGCCCAGCTCGATCCTTACCCCGCGAAGTGATTGGCCGCGTGGTTTGGATGCTCGGATCAATGTGGAGAGCGGGAAACCGCGCGCCACTTGAACGGACACCTCAATCATGTAGGACCATGCCTTCCTGCGGGTCGAACCCTCTAACTCCCCACCTTCCTCCTGTCCTGCTCATCTACAACCTGCGTTGCCCGCACCTCGCGCTGACAACCCGCCGCCTCCCACGCTATAAATTCGCGCAACCTTCTCCTCTCTTCCTCTTTGATCTCGGCTGCAATGCTGCGCGCGCTATGCGCGAAAGTCCGCGGCGCCGAACAGGCTCGACGAGCCCAAGGACGGGCGGAGTGACGACGTGGGATGGACCCGCGGTAGTCTCGGGGCGACGCAGTCGGAGGGACTTAACAGTGGTGGGGATTTGACGCCGGCCGCGATAGGGCCTTGTGGCTATGGTGGTCGGTGGTCTTGGGAGGTTCGAAGGCTGCACCTGGGGGCCGCAGTTCATTGAATTTTTTGTGTACAAGAAGGACTGGCTTTTATCTCCATTGCTGCTTTGTCTATGCATGTCGTGTGTGTGAAGCCCCGAGTGATGGGAGCTGGTTGTGCGCATGAGTGATGTCGAAGGTCTATGGATGATTAGATGTCCTGTCAAGGGTTGTTGATTGTTTGCATGTATGCGTGTATGTACTTATCCGGGCGGGGACGGGGAAACTGAACTGGGGACCGTCTGCCTAGGAGTACGAGCGTRMTCATCCYGTTGTTCCCCTCCCTTCCMCGSCCCTTCGCGCGCGCACGCGYGKTCTCGGTGTAAACTCACTCTCTCTCTYCCCCTCTCTCTCCCKCCTTCCTTTTTGAACCTCTCGTCCCCGTACCGGTGRCGTCAACCGCCTGCGTCCGCGCGCGTGGTCGACGCCCCCGCAAGGGGAAGAGAACTTCGCTTTCGCCTTCTTCCTCCGACGCGCTAACCCTGAGAGAGAAGGTTGCATCGAGTGTTGTATGGAGTCGATGTTGGTTCGGATGACCGGGAGCGCGGGATCTTGCCCATGTTCATCGCCTACTTCCGATCGTCTCATCTCGCTACCGACCTTCCCCATCACAGATGACGACAGCGTCTACTGCGATGCGGACGTACGGCGCGCGCTRAGGCGAACGGAGCAAGTGTGTTGGCGRGACCCGCCTCGGGCTTGTGACATAAGGGGGAACGGGTTTGTCTTGATCGATCGTTTTGATTCCCCGACTCTAATACTGCCTTATACGGGTTTGACTGTGTTGCCCTGGTCGACCGCTCACGCCGCGTGGCGGCCACAATTTGATTGTCGGTGGTGCCGCCAGGGGGACTCGTGTTCTTGGCGACGACTGGTCCTGGGTTACGAGGGCACGACACGTTTCCCCGAGCTTTCCCGTAGTGAGGGGGCGCTGCCCGCGCAATTTCGAATTCGGATGCCGGCGAGTCCTCCCGCCGCTTTACCCTCTCGGAAACTTCCGCGCGGACTCTGTGAGTCCGACGCCGAGGCTTGAAGGCCTCGAACCAACCACCTCTACAGCAAAGACCCAATGGTTCGGTCACTTCGAGGCCGATGACGAGGCCTGAAGGCTTCAAACCCACCACCTATCCCCCAAACCCCTGACGGACGAAGTTTTGCCTTCCGCCGCCTCGGCCCTCTCCCCCTGATGCCTTTTCTCGTCCTGATGCACGACGACAGTTCGTTTTCTCGGAAACCCTTCTGATTTTATCGTTTCGGAGTGATCCGACCCCCATGGGACTTCGCGACGATAGTTTGACTCCGGGGAAAACCTCAAGCCCGAAACGAGAGCCTCCCGTTCCGTCCAGGAGACTCAACCCTTACGGCCAAAAATCCTCGGCTACGCCCCTCCTAGAACTCTGATCGGCCACCCTGTACGGGACAACGCGAGGGGGCGTGAGGTTGGTATCAGAGCTGATTCGTGTCGGCTCCGAGGTTTTCCTATGACGAATACCCTGCTTAAGAGTTTTCCTTTTTTGATCTTTCTTTTTAGATTTTTCTCATTTTTGAGTAGGGTGGCTCCCCGTCGCCGGCGGGTCGCGAATAGAAATCAGAACCGAGCGAGAGGCCGGGCTCGAAACCCGCCTCCCGCGATGGTGGAACCCGGAATTGGGGGTCAAAACGACGGTGATAACCACGCGGGGATGGCCAATCATCCCCTGTATTTTGTATCCCCTCCTTCCGAAGTTCCCATTTTCTCCAAAGATGATACCGACCCTCGCACCTGGCTAGCTGCCTTGAAAGCCCAGGGCTGGTCGGACCAGTTGCTCCGAGAACGAATCCCCGGAAGGTTAGCCGGAACCGCTTTTGAGTGGTATGGACATAACCCCTTCACTAATTGGGCAGCCTTCCAGAGGAAATTTCTCGATAGATTTGATCACATCGCACTAGGTCAATGCCTCCGTTTAATAAAGGAATACACGCAGCAGCCTCGGGAGACCTTGGCTAGATATGCTGAACGTTTTACGTACTTAGCCGAACGCTCCGGGGTGGACGAGAAAATGGTACAGACTGATTTCGTTAGAGGATTGTTAGATTCTCGCTTGCGGAAAAAGATCCGCAAGAAATGCAACCCTATAGAACATACCCTGACGGAGCTAATTCAGTACGCCATTGAGTATGGAAAAGAAAATTACGATGTGGGCCTGGACTCAGAATCCGACGAAGACGACCCTTCGGGTGTTCGATGCAATAGCTACTCCGCTACGGCACGAATGTTCGAAGATCGCTTCGGGTTGGGTCCGGCAAAAAAAGGCCAGGATCGGAAGGCTTCTTCCTCTGCTTCGACCTCCCGTCGCTCTAGCCAAGCACAAGGAGGCCGGGGCGAGGAAGAAGTGTCCATGAAAGAGGTCGCGGCCCAATTAGTTACGGTAGTGGCCCCATTGACGGAGTTCGTTAAGGGCCTGCAGCGGCAACGCATAGCCGCCGCACAACGGCAACAAACGGCTATGGCCGTCGGGGCCCCTATGATAAGACCGGTCGTGGCCGGGGCTGTTCCGCCCCTACGCTGTTATAACTGTGATCAGTCAGGCCACCTTGCGAAAGATTGTCCAAAACCTCGAACTCCGGGTGGATCCGCTGGGCCCACCGGACCTTCCCAAGTCCGGCTGGCGGCTCCAACCGCTGCAGGACAGGGGAGGGTAGCCACGGTAATGGACATAGGAATGACGATGATGGTGACCCCTGCGGCCACTGAGATAGGACCCGATGAGTATATGGCGGTCGCGATGTTCGAACCCGGGACCATCGAAGTGATATGTCACGTCCAACGGATTACCGAGGAAAGCGACCTCGGGACGTGGCGACCAGGATTCGAAGATCTTGCGGCACCTGGTCCTGAATATAAGGATGGTCATATCGACGTATTGGATGCCTTGAAGGCTCTGGATCTACGGATCCCCGTCCCTATTCCCTATCTGCTAACCATTTCCGAAGCGGCCAACGAAAAATTGATCGAACGATGCCTTAAAAACAGGCGCCGATTCGAGGAAAGTCGAAAGGGCAAAAAAACGGTCCTACGAGACCCACCCATAAACGAGGAGTCACAGTCCTCGACCTCAAAGGTGCACGAAGCCAACTGGATAGGAATGATCCAGACCGTAGGTTCCGCCTCGGAAAAACCCGAGGTATTCCTCCGGGCCTATCCTATAACCTGGAAAAGCGTTGAGTGTGACTGCGAGGTGTGGGGAAACCCCTCGGCCGCCATCCTAGACTCGGGATCGTCAGCAGTCGCCATTTCTTGGAGATTGACGAAACGATTGGGAAGGGAAGAACAGGTTCAGCCCCTCCGACCGGATGAACTGTATATATCCGCTACGGAAGACAACATTCATTGTAAAGGGCGGATAACGAATGTGCCTATACGGGTGGGGCGGGTGCATTGTTTGTGCGACGCAATCGTGCTGGATGTACAGACGTATGATGTTCTGCTAGGCATTCCGTGGCAGGCGGCGGTCGGAGAGCGAATGCACTTTGACAGCTGTAAGGTGGTGCTCACATTGGCCCACCCCAAACCACAAACGATACCAATGAGATTGGTGGTGCGTATGCGCACCCATCCAGCGCCTCGAATCACCACGAAGGCCCATCAAATCAACATGATCCGACGCCTGCCACCAGACAAAAATAACACCTCGTCGAAAACTGACAAGACTGATGTACCGCACCGATATCCGATCCAGGTTCAGGGTCGGTGGCGCCATTCTTGGTGGCGAGAACCCTTGGAAATAGTTCGGAGTCAGTCCAATTGGTCGCACGCGTTTTCCTCCGTGGTGCAGGGGGAACCCCTGCTGAGGGTGTCCCGAATAGCTGACCTTTCGGAGCCCCCTGCGTCCTTATATCTCAGGACGGACCCCCTACCTGAAAGATTTACCGAGCTTAGGGGGCTGTGCGATTTATCTTTTCGACCTCCACGGCCCCTACTCACGAATGAAAGAGCCGCGATACTCTTGAAAGAGGGGGTGTCGTTTCAACCCCGAACCAGGGAATATCGGTGGGGACCAAGGGAACTGACGCACGCCTTTTCGGTAGAACCCTCGGCCGAACCCGAACTGGACAGTGACAGTGACATGGAAAGCGAGCCGATGAGTCCGGCGGATAGTCAACTTATTGCGACTGTCCTTTCGGTGAAAACCGACAACTCTTTGTTTGGGGTTTCGCCTGATGCCAGCGCGGCGGTCCCCACGGTTACGACGACGGTCTCCCTTCCTGGGGGAACCGTAGAAGTTCAGTTACCAACCCGTGTTCCGGATGAATACAGACGCCTCCTCCTGGCGGTTATACGGGCCTATCCTGAGGCCATCAGTATTAAGGACCACGACATAGGGCTTACCCCTTTGATACAGCACGCGATTGATATCGGGGATCACGCCCCGATACATTGCCGACCGTACTGATATTCCCTTAGAGAAAGGCAGCTGGCGTTGGAAAGGGTACAGGAGTTCGAGCGATTGGGGTGGGTCGAACCATCGCTGGGACCGTGGTCTTTTCCCGTGGTCCTCGTGCTAAAACGAAATGGTTCGGTCCGGATATGTATCGACTATCGAAAATTGAACGCTATCACTACCAAAGATGTGTATCCCTTGTCGCGAATCGACGATTTGTTAGGTGCTATCGGGGTCGCTCGAGTCTTTTCCAAGTTCGATATCCGACACGGTTTTCACCATGTCGCCGTCCGACCGGAGGACCGACCCAAAACGACTTTTGTCCTATTTGAGGGCACGTGGCAATGGGTCCGGTGTCCCATGGGAATTTGTAACGCCCCTGCAACGTTTCAGCAGGCCATGAATATGGCCTTTGCTGAGTTCGTTAACAAAACCCGACTAACCCAGCCCCTGATCAATTTTTGCGTGATTGTGTACATGGATGATATTTTGGTCTTTTCAAAAACACACGAGTACCACGTGGAACACATTGAGTGGGTTTTGCATGCACTAAAAGATGCGGGGTTCAAAGTGGCCTTGGAAAAAAGCGAGTTCTTCTTGTCGGAGATCTCATTCTTGGGGTACATCGTCACGGTCGATGGACTAAAACCGATCCGAGGAAGGTGTCAGCAGTTCAAGAAGCCCCGGTGTCAGTCACACTCACCCAGGTTCGGGCTTTTCTAGGGCTGACATCCTATTACCAACGCTTCATCAAGGGGTTCGCCGGTGTAGCGAAGCCCCTAACGAACCTGCTGAAGAAAGAGGAGCAGCTGATCTGGACGCCGAAATGCGAAGCGGCGTTTCAGGCGTTGAAGGAGGCTCTGACATCTGCTCCTGTGTTGGCGCGTCCCGACCCGACAAGACCGTTCGCACTATACAACTGGCAGCCGCAGGCGATATCGGCGGTGCTGACTCAGCACAGGGTGGACGGAAGGGAACACGTCATTGAGTATGCGTCCAAGACACTGAGCCAGGCGCAGGCTAATTACGAAGCGTGCAAAGGCGAATGCCTGGCAGTGGTGTGGGGGATTCATCATTTTCGACTGTATCTCTACGGCCAGAAATTCATGCTGGTAACGGATCATCAGCCGCTGCTGTCCCTACTCAACAACGCGGATTACACGGGGACCCTGGGAAGGTGGACGGTGCGTCTGCAGGACTATGACTTCGACATCCGCCACCGTGCCACGCGGCAGCAGGGCAACGTCGATGGATTGACGCGCCTCCTGCCGCCCAACAAGTGTCCCGCCAACGAGCRACTCATTCCGTGGAGGCCAGAAGCCGCGGCGACGAAACCGCACTACGGGGAGCTACACGTGCTCCCAAGGACGACGCCTGAGTCTGGAATGGAGGTTTCGCCGGAGATGGCAGACGCTATCTCTTTGCCCCATCCAACTCCCTCGCTCTCTCGTCTAGTCCCTACTCGTCCCCTGAAACACATCTAAGTCCTTGTTTCTTCTGTACCTTGCCTATGGTCCCGGACCAAGAAGGGTCACATCCGGGAGGGCCCAGTTTTCTTTTATGGGTACAATGTAGTCAGTGTCATACGGTCAAATCTCACGGACAGTGCGTTAGGTACCGAAGTGAGAAGACATGGGTCTGTCCTGGCTGTAGAACGGACCATGTCCCTACCGAGAAGCGGTATCTGGACGCCAGAACAGCCGACGGATTTGCGCCAAGTGCCCGCCGGGCAGAAGTCTAGACGGACCTTCTGTTGCTACAGAAGCTGTCAGGCGACTCGCTGTCAGAACTTACCAAAGCCGAGCGGCGGAGAGTCACGGAGCAGGCGCGGGACTATCGTTGGCAGGGACCGACGTTATAAAAATGAAAGGTCAATGATGACGGAGGGTCTAGCTGGTTGACGGTTCCACACCCTCTCGCTAGGTTCGATTGGACACGAGCCGCTCATGAAGAGGATGTGGTCCATTTTCGCGGTCAAGTACACGGAAAAAGCCATCGAGAAGAAATTGATGGTACTGGTCGGGAATTCGGGAAGATGTGAAATACATCGTTCAGAATTGTCCGGCCTGCGCGGCAGACAAGGCGTCGGTACAGATGCCTCGGACAATGGTGCCCACTCGTGTAGAGCGCCCCTTTCAGAGGGTTAGCATCGATACGACAGATATCAACGTCCCGAGAGGTCCCGTCGATCAGGGAGAACTCAATGTTCTTTTAGTAGCCGTCGATCATTTTTCAAAATGGATCGAGGCGTACCCTATGACCAGCCGGAATTCGCAGGAGGTAGCCTGGTACGTAAATCGATTTTTGTGCATGCATCTAGACGTAGAAGATGTACACATGGACAATGGGTCAGAATTTCAAGGCGAAGTAGAACGTCACCTAGTCAGGGCATACGTTAAGATTATCTACTCGCCGGGGCATTGGCCTCAAGCCAACGGCCTGGTAGAGAATGTCAACCGATTGATTAGGACCGCCCTTAGACGGAATATCGCTGCGGGAGACACCCGGCCCTGGCCTGTCATTGTCGACCACATCTTGGCCGTTTATCGGGCTACCCCACACGGTAGTACTGGGGTGTCCCCCTTTCAACTGAGAACCAATAGTGTCCCTCGGGTGCAGTTGTCCCCCTTGGTAGGTACGGAAGTTAGAGCAACACGGGCCCAGCACAGAGACAAGGCCCGCCACTATATAGACTTAATGGCTAGGGCTTATCCCCCGTTAGTGCGCCGGTGACAGCGGGCCATAGATCGAACGCATCAACGGCAGATCCGCGACTACGAAAATCGACATGCGTCCGCGGGACCACTGCCTCGCTATAAAATAGGGGACTTGGTGCAGGTACGGAAATCCGCACGCTCTTCCAAAATCCACCCACGCTATACAGGCATTTACGAGGTGACGGAAGTTGGCGCACGAGGCCAACACTCCGTGAAGCTGGTTCCCAGGCACAACTCACAGGGCCGCCTGCTAACGAGGCACGCTGCTGCCCTCCGGCCTTTTTGGCCATCGCTAGATCTCGTGCGGTCACCTGTCCTGCCCGAATCATCTTCTTCGTCCCTCTCTCGTGCTCCTTCGTCCTCACCTCCTTCTTCCTCTTCTCTCTGATCGGGGTCATCGGCATCTGCGGAAGACCTTGCCTCGTAGGATGAACCATCGCCAACAGGAGCATGAACTGCTCGAGCACTTCCAGCCGCCCATCTCGGACGCTCTTCTCCGGAACCAGTTCAACGACGATCGGCAGCTGCGCTTTGACATTGAGCAAGTGAACGTGTCGGCTCCTAGCGTTGCTGACTTGGCGGTGTACTCGCTCCTTGCACAGCGGGTGACGTACGCGGGCGTCTATGTGTACATATCGCCCGTGCCTGGTCAGGAATCCACGCGAGTGTTCATCGAGTTCCGAGCCATCCAGGTGGCTACGAACTTTATGCACAGCATCGCTACTTTCACCGGGGATTTAACCGTCTTGCCTGGACACGATCAGGAGCCGGCGTACAGGTTCTTGCGCGATTACGCCCTCCAGGTGGCGAGATCGGTGGCGCGACTGTAGGCGAGGGGCACTCATCGCTTCACCGCATACGAAGGACTTCTGCGGCGGACTCCGGAGGGAGCACTTGCATTGGTGCCGCAGCTTCCCGCGCTCCTTCCTCCCGCTGAGCCCCTCAACATCCAAGCTGTCCCTCCCCCTTCTCTCAAAATGCCTCCCTTCTTCTCTTACACTACCCTCCCTTACCAACTGACACAACTCCCCTATCCTATGCGCAACTCCCCCGAGTACCTGGTGGAGCTGACGGACGTGGAGCAGTTGCCGCCCGCTGACAAGGACGCGTGGGAGCTGCATCGGGCGCTGTATTCGTCGGTGGTGCTAGGCATGTTTACATTTTTCGTGGAGCACGAAGTTCATAACGTCGGCGAGTTCCGCTACGTATACTACGTGATCGCCAAGCCGAAGCCGGAGCGGAAGGAGGGAACAATGGCGCTTTACCCTTTTGGGAGAATCGGAACGAATCGCCCGGGGCTCTTACAACTCATTCACATCGAGTTGCTGTCCATCGTGCAGGTAATCGCCGCAGAAGAAGAAGACTTGCATCTCAGACTGCGGACCGCCTCAGCCCCGTGCAGAGCGTATAACGCGGCGGTGATACCTGACTACCTGGCGCGTGAGGGGGAGTCCGTGGTGGACTTCGGGCACGAAGATGAGCCGCTGCGGCCTCCATCATCGTATCCAAAGTCGGCGGCCCTGAAGGCACCGAGAAAGAGAACCGTCCTGAAGCGGCGACGAAGTCCATCGCCGAAAGCTTAGGCCAGTCGAGTGGGGCCTGTCGAGGAGGTCGTCCAGCCTGCGCCGGTGCGCAAAGTCGATCCGGTTCGCGAGAAAAGAGCCACACTCATCATCGGGCCCCGACTGGGGGAGGACTGCCCCGCCGAAGAACCGCGGAGATCCACAGGCCATCAGGAGTCGACACCTCAGCGGCCCCGCCTTCCCGATCTCAATAGCCATGCAGCCGGGCCATCAGGTGCAGGGGGGGGATTGGGACGAGTTCCATATCCCGCATCAGGACCCCCCCTCCTTGCAGGACCGTTCCGATTTCGCCAGCCCGCCCGCGATACCCCGGTCATTGGCATTAGCAGTTCCCCCGAGTCGGACGGTCCATCAAACCGACGTGGATCACATGGTGGAACTGGCCACCATCCGGCTTGAGGCCATCGAGGGGGCGCCGCGTCCTGATCCGGCATGGGAGGCATTCTTGCAGCCTCCATTCGACGGATGTATAGCGGCGAGGTTGGTGGGCACGCTCATCTACGAGACCGGCGGACGGCCCAACATTATGTACCATATCCTGATCTTCGCGGCGGTTAAGCGGGAGCCGAGGCCATACACAGAGATCCATCTGGTGCTGACGGGTCCAAAAAATCGGCCACTGCGACGACGAATCATTCGGGCGATCGCCGATCTCGCGCCACGGGTCCTCTCACATGTGTCGCGGGCCTTCCTCTACCCCTCCTTTGTCCCGCACCACTTCCATGAAGTGGAAGTGCCAGCCAACTTGGCCGCGCTCGCGGTGTTTCTCCCTCCTCTTCCTCCCCCTCTCAATCTGGAGATCGATTACTTCCTATGATCATCTCCACCACCACCACCTCTTTCTTTTTCTTCTTCTTTTCCGATCTAAAGCTCGCGCAATGATACTCGCTGTGTAWAAAAAAAAAAAAAAAAAAAAAAAAAAAAAAAATTCTTTACCGATCGGGCCAGCTGACGATGAAGGGGCCGCCCGATCGAATGTATACTATGGGAGGAGGCGATGGAGGATGCAGGATGCATCCAAGTAGATTAGGAAGATGATCGGGCCAGCTGACGATGAAGAGGCCTCCCGATCATCCAAGATATGATGACATCAGCAGTCGGGAGACTGCTAATTTTTCAGAACCCCCTGCGTATCACAGATGTGATAAGCCCAGATCCGTACCGCGCGGCTTGCCGTATCCCTGAGGAAAAATCCCGCGGAAGCCCCGAAGTACGGACACGGACAGAAAGGGGTTTTTCTTTCTTTTTGCTTTTGTTTTCTTTTTGAAATGGCTTTTTCATTTTGTTTGGTTAATGACTCCCGCGCGGGCGAATAACGGCCGTGGTATGAAAAGCAAGAAACGGTTTCGGTTGGAATTTTTTTTTTTGAATTTTTGCGTGCGCGCCTAAGCTCCGACTTCTTCGCGCGTCTCGCACCCCCGTTTCTTGTTTTGCATCCCCGCGCCATCTTCCCTTCTTGCCGCGCGCGTTCTCCCCATGCAGGACTCTTCGTCTTCCCCTCCGCCCAGCTCGATCCTTACCCCGCGAAGTGATTGGCCGCGTGGTTGGGATGCTGGGATCAATGTGGAGAGCGGGAAACCGCGCGCCACTTGAACGGACACCCCAATCACGTAGGACCGTGCCTTCCTGCGGGTCGAACCCTCTAACTCCGCACCTTCCTCCTGTCCTGCTCATCTACAACCTGCGCTGCCTGCACCTCGCGCTGACAACCCGCCGCCTCCCGCGCTATAAATTTGCGCAACCCTCTCCTCTCTTCCTCTTTGATCTTGGTTGCAATGCTGCGCGAGCTATGCACGAAAGTCCGCGGCGCCGAACAGGCTCGACGAGCCCAAGGACGGGCGGAGTGACGACATGGGGTGGACCTGTGGTAGTCTAGGGGCGACGCAGTCGGAGGGACTGAGAAGTGGTCGGGATTTGACGCCGGCCGCGACATGGCCTTGTGGCTATGGTGGTCGGTGGTCTTGGGAGGTTCGAAGGCTGCGCCTGGGGGCGGCAGTTCATTGAAATTTTTGTGTACAAGAAGGACTGGCTTTTATCTCCATCGCTGCTTTGTCTACGCATGTCGTGTGTGTGAAGCCCCGAGTGATGGGAGCTGGTTGTGCGCATGAGTGATGTCGAAGGTCTATGGATGATTAGATGTCCTGTCAAGGGTTGTTGATTGTTTGCATGTATGCGTGTATGTACTTATCCGGGCGGGGACGGGGAAACTGAACTGGGGACCGTCTGCCTAGGAGTACGAGCGTRMTCATCCYGTTGTTCCCCTCCCTTCCMCGSCCCTTCGCGCGCGCACGCGYGKTCTCGGTGTAAACTCACTCTCTCTCTYCCCCTCTCTCTCCCKCCTTCCTTTTTGAACCTCTCGTCCCCGTACCGGTGRCGTCAACCGCCTGCGTCCGCGCGCGTGGTCGACGCCCCCGCAAGGGGAAGAGAACTTCGCTTTCGCCTTCTTCCTCCGACGCGCTAACCCTGAGAGAGAAGGTTGCATCGAGTGTTGTRTGGAGTCGATGTTGGTTCGGATGACCGGGAGCGCGGGATCTTGCCCRTGTTCATCGCCTACTTCCGATCGTCTCATCTCGCTACCGACCTTCCCCATCACAGATGACGACAGCGTCTACTGCGATGCGGACGTACGGCGCGCGCTRAGGCGAACGGAGCAAGTGTGTTGGCGRGACCCGCCTCGGGCTTGTGACATAAGGGGGAACGGGTTTGTCTTGATCGATCGTTTTGATTCCCCGACTCTAATACTGCCTTATACGGGTTTGACTGTGTTGCCCTGGTTGGCCGCTCACGCCGCGTGGCGGCCGCAGTTTGATTGTCGCTGGTGTCGCCACGGGGACTCGCGTTCTTGGCGACGACTGGTCCTGGGTTACGAGGGCGCGACACGTTTCCCCGAGCTTTCCCGTAGTGCGGGGGCGCTGCCCGCGCAATTTCGAATTCGGATGCCGGCGAGTCCTCCCGCCGCTTTACCCTCTCGGAAACTTCTGCGCGGACTCTGTGAGTCCGACGCCGAGGCTTGAAGGCCTCGAACCAACCACCTCTACAGCAAAGACCCGATGGTTCGGTCACTTCGTGAGGCCGATGACGAGGCCTGAAGGCTTTGAACCCACCACCTATCCCCCAAACCCCTGACGGCCGAAGTTTTGCCTTCCGCCGCCTTGGCCCTCTCCCCCTGATGCCTTTTCCCGTCCTGGTGCACGACGGCATTTCGTTTTCGCGGAAACCCTTCTGATTTTATCGTTTCGGAGTGATCCGACCCCCATGGGACTTTGCGACGACAGTTCGACTCCGGGGAAAACCTCTGGCCCGAAACGAGAGCCTCCCGTTCCGTCCGGGAGACTCAACCCTTACGGCCAAAAATCCTCGGCCACGCACCTCCTAGAACTCTGATCGGCCACCCCGTACGGGACAGCACGAGGGGGCGTGAGGTTGTGTATCACACGCCGGCCAGCCAGATATGTCCCAAATGCTTGGCACGCAGGGCCCGCGGCTAACATATGGGAAAGGCCTGGAGGGTTTCTACGGTAGATGAAACCGTAATTAGAGGGGAAGAAAGCTGCCGTCTTGTAAACCACCAGTAGGTTTCCCAGATATTCTCTCTTTGGTGATCAGAGCTCGACATACTGGAGTACTGGACCAAAATGGCTCCCAGATATTTTCCCTCAGAGCTCGACATACTGGAGTACTGGACCAAAATGGCTGGTGGTGCGAAGCAGAAAGAGAAAAGAAAAAAACAGTGCCAATGCTGATTATGCTGGTTAGTTATTTATTGGCGCCCCACAGACACGTTAGAAGGTCTCCCTCTTGCCAAACAGTGTTATGCTCCTAACATTAGTAGATCCTGCTATGAACCGAGCAAATGGTAGTCTGAGATTTCTCCAATTTTCTGATAAAATGCTGTCTTTTGATCTGCTTTCTGAAAAGTCCGATTTTGAGTCTGTTTTGCCATGGCTTGCTGTGTTTTCTAAGTATGTGCATCATGTGTGTGACTTGCCACCGACGTATGTGTGCTGTGCGCATGCCTGAGTTTGAGTCTGGCTCGGTGTGCTAACTCTTGGCCATCATGTGTGGCTGTGCCTCGGACAGGGACAGAGTAGCATGTGTCAGAACTACAGGGACATGACTGAATTTGGGCACCGGATGGACCTGTGGGAAGGCTAGGACGGACAGGGGTAGACATAGAATTTGACTAGTACCCTTTTCAGCAATTCGGGTAGGCGCAGTACTCACTACTCAGGGCCGTATGCAGGTGGATGTAGGGTTATATACAGGCCCTGACGTATAATTGCAGACTGAGAGAGGGATCCACATCGGTGCGTAAAAAAAAATTGGAATTCCAAAATGTGCTCCGCCGAATCTCACTGACGTGCTCGGCGGTTCCTGGAAATCAAGGGAAGACTTAGTGTCAAGGGAAAGTGTTTCCACTCCCCCCGCGGCCTGTTGGTACCCCCAACTGGGAATTCCGTTGGCATCAAAAGGGTAGGGGGGGGTGCACCCCTTCCGTAGCCGACAGCAAGCTGCGTGCAGTGTCCCGGCTCGGACGTGTGCAACGTCCGGTGGACTGGTCCTGGGCAAAGGGTGGACATTACCGTTGTCACACAGGAAATGGACTGGTCCCATGCTTCCCCGCCGTGTCTCGCGACGGTCCCGCGGTTTTTGAATTTTTGGTGCCCGTGGACATTTTCAAATCAGGAAAGGGTGGGCGGTGAAAAAAAAACAGAAAATTCCACGAACGGAGTGCAGGGAGCAACCAGGAACGCCCCACACGAACACACTCTGTCAATCAGCCCCTCCTCTGCATGAGGCATGCACGTCGACGGACCATCGGGCATTACCGTCAACGCCGACGCCATAGCCAGGATAGCAGTGCAGCACACTCCATCCATCACCCACAATCTGGCCCGAGGTGTGCATCAACTCCAGCCGACCAGGGTGGAGGCAGGGCATTGATGGATATCGGTGCCGGTCTTGCTGCGAGGCATTGGATTGCGGCATCTGTCCAATTCGTTTGTGAATCAGCGTCGTCGAGGGCGCACCTTGCTAACCGTGCAAAAGGAGAGGTGGGAAAGATTGTTTGCGTGTGCCGTCTG